ATAATAATAATAATAATAATAATAATAATAATAATAATAATAATAATTTTTTTAAAAAAATCACTAAATAAAATTGAAAAAAACTAGCACAAAAGGAAAAAATATATTATTTTAATTCTCAAGAAATCTAAAGCTCAGTCTAAGAACTAATACCTGTTGGTTTTGGGGTTTGTTCGTTTTTTGAGGCAGAGTCTCTCTACATAGCTCTATCTTAGAACTCATTCTGTAGATCAGGTTGGCTTCAAACTCACAGACATCCACCTGCCTTTGCCTCCCAAGTACTGGGATTAAAGGCAGGAGCCACTTGTAGGTATTTTATCCTCAACAAAAACTTTATATAACCGATGGCTAAAAGGAAAATTCTGTAAACTAAAAAGGTATAAGAACCTACAGAAAAAAGAGGTATAAGAACCTTCAGAGAAGTCAGTTTGTGGTGGCACATGCCTTAGATTTCAGGACTTAGGAGGCAGAGGCAGGTAGATCAATGAGTTTGAGGCCATTCTGGACTGCAGAGTGAGTTCCAGGACAGCCAGAGCTACAGAGAAACCCTGTCTCGAAAAGGAAAATAATAATAATAATAATAATAATAATAATAATAATAATAATAATAATAATAATAATAGTTATTATTATTATTATTATTCAGGGAATGAAGAGATGGCTTAAAGTTTAAGAGCACTGGCTGCTCTTCCAGAGGTCCTGAGTTCAATTCCCAGCAACCACATAGTGGCTCACAACCATCTATAGTGAGATCTGGTGCCCTCTGCTGGTGGTAGGCAGAACAGTATATATGTAATAAATAAAATAAATCTAAAAAGAACCTTCAGGGGGCTGGAGAGATGGCTCAGTGGTTAAGAGCTCTGACTGCTCTTCCAGAGGTCCTGAGTTCAATTCCCAGCAACCACATGGTGGCTCACAACCATCTATACCTTCTACTGCTGTCTTCTGGCATTCAGGTACACATACAGAGAGAGCTTTCAAAATAAATAAAATCTTAAAAAAAAAACTTTCAGAGAGAAATTTGGTGAGGCTGGGAGACTACAAGTTCACAGCCAGCCAAGGCTACTTAATAAGATGAGAGTGGGAGGGAGGGAGAGAGAGAGAGGGAGGGAGAGAGAGAGACTTTTTCTGAAGCTCACCTTCCCTAATCCCATTACATAGGATACTAGTGACAAAGACTCAGTATAGTTTTAAAGTAAAGGTAAGGGTGTTCAGGCAAATTAGCAAGGATCTGTTACTGTAGCAGGTTAGTTCAGCTGAAAGGGAAAGAATAAGGAAGAAGCAGACTCAAACAGGCCAGAGAAGAGAAAATGGCACAGAAATTACCCCACACAACTTCGATTCTCCCAGTGCTAGGGGCCAAATAGAGGGCCTTTAAAGCCAGACCGTTTGCTCTCACCACCGCACTACACCCAACAGAACCAATGGTAAAGGGATCCCTAGGTATCACCTTCTTCACTCTTTAATCTGGCTCCACCAATTTAGGTTAATTTTGGTTTTATGAGACAAGTTCTTACTCTGTAATCCAGGCTGGCCTCAGCCTGAGTGCTGGGGTTACAGATGTGAGCCACCACATCTGATTAACAAGGCTAAAAAAATCCAAGGAAACCAAATCCACAGACTAGTCACATCTGCCAGCACATTTTTACAAGTTCATTGACTAGTACAGTGAATGCTTAAGGCTACTCAAGACGTTATGCATTTTGCTTCAACATGCCCAACTCATAGGATGGGCATAAATTCTCTTTGATATCTATAAGAAGGGAAGTAAGAAAGTATGGGCAGGAAGGTCAGTGATTAAAGTGCTTATCACACCAATATAAAAAAACCAAAGTTCAAATCCCTATGTAAATGTCAGGTGAGTATGGCATTCTGCCTTGGCTATATGGCAAAGTTGATTCCAGTATGACTGACAAAAATCCTCACTCAACTAAGACAAGCTGCCGTGGTGGCACACACTTTTAAATTTTAATCCCAGCACTTGGGAGGTAGGCAGATCTCTGTGAGTTTGAGGTCATCTACATAATGAGTTCTAGGTAGGAGAGCTGGGACACCAGGGAGGGGGCTGGGGAGAGATGCCATCGCAAACATACAAACAAACAATACCAGAAATATTAAGGAAAACAGGAGCCAAGGAAGACCCTGTGGAAACAATCCTGGAATCCAACGCAAGAAAAGAAGTTAGATGCCTACACCAACACACAGGTAGGCAGACTCACGTCTCCAAATATCCAGTGCACTTGAAACAAATGCTCTGGTCCTGTCCTACAGAAGTAGCGTTTTATTTGAACAAGCAGAAAGGATCAACGGACAAGAGAGCTAATGCACTTCTGTAGCCACAATTCTCATGTAACAAACCAGAGAAAGAAGTCTGACGACGGATCCTACAGTATGAGTTCCTAAAATGTGAAGGAAGAAGGAAAAGGAGAACAGACTAAGGTGTCAGGACAATATTCCAAAATCTGTACTAACTCTACCAGGTATTCCAGAACTTGGATGGAATGCTAATTCTCAGTCATGACAGAATTATATACTAAGGATTAACAGGAAAACTAAACAAGTTTTGTAGGGGAACTGGACATAGCATTGTCAATACACAGTCGAATTCTGACCACCACGAGGAGGATCTGGGACTGACAAAACACCTCCCTTCCGTATGTTGCAACTTGGGGGAGGAGGGAATGGAGGTCTGGGGAAATTCAAGTAGGTATGATCCACAACGCTAACCATGGAGGAGACTTGAAGGGCCCCGATCCGGTGCACTCAGAACTGTCCTAAGCACCCCGCATGCTCTCTTCAACTTCGACACCGACTCTGCCCTCTTCCCGGCAAGGCTTCCTACTTTACACCGCGGCTCTAGGTCCCATGTGGGCCACGCTCACACTGCTAGTACAGCGGGAGCTTCGGCCTCGAGGCCTGCCCGGAACTCCCCTCTCCCGGCCCCGGCTGCCGAACCCCGCCTCCCGGACCCGCTGGACACCACGGCGGAGCCACCAGCCCTCCAGCTCCTACCAAAATCAGCGCCTCCATCTTGCCCGCAGCAGCTGCCGACGTGGAGTCGCACAGACGACGTCGCCGCTGATTGGCCCTGAGTCTGCGCTAGGCCCCGCCCCAGAGGAGCAGCACTGGGTGAGGCTAAGCCAGCCTCCAGGTATTGACCAATCAGCGTAGTAGCTCGGCGCGCGGAAGGGGCGGGAGGGTCATCGAGGGCGGTGTTGTTTCCATGGGGAACGGAGAAAGCAAGTCTTGCTCTGCTGGTGGTCGGAAGCCACGTGACCGTAAGCCTGTCAGGCGCACTCGCTGTAGGGGGAGCTGTGTCTCTCTAACCCTTGCGGAGGAGCCAGGCCCGAATCCGGATTCCCAGCGCCCCCATTAGGTCCTGAGGGATAGCCACAGCTGCTGTGGGTCACCAGCTTAGAGCATCCAGCTGTAGGCAGCCAAGCGTTAACCAGACAAACCAAGGTCTCCACAATTATGTCCCCAGGATTCGCGCTGTGTCGCCAGCACACATACCCAATAAATAAATATTTCAGTTATAATATATTTTTAAAAATTTTCTGAGAAATCGCTCAGTAGTTAAGAGTTCATATTTTGGTTAAAGACCCAAGTTCAGTTCCCAGGTCCCAGGTCCCATTGCTCACGTACAGAGAATCTGCCGCCACCTGCCACTTTCGGCGGGGGTGGGGTTGGGGAGTGGAGGAGGAGTTGGGGGATAAAGGGGGAGTGCAAATGGGGAGCTCGCGCTTACATGCACAATCCTGGCTATACTTTTCCCCACCTTGATTCAACGTGAAATTGGATATTAGGGCATTGGAGACCAGAGAGAATGGAAAGAATTAGGACCGAGGCAGAAAGGGGATCAGAATCTTACATTCTGAGTGGATAATGAGTTTGTAGCGGGGCATGATGGCGCCACCTTTAATCCCAGGACTAGGGAGGCAGAGGCAGGCCAGCTTGGTCTACAAAAAGAGTTCCAGGCTAGACAGGACTACACAGTGAGACAGTAGTAGTTAAGAGCGCAGGCCCTGCTCTTCCAAAGGACCTGGGCTCAATTCCCAGGACACCACGACGGGATGGGGGGTGGGGGTGGGGGTGGAAAGAGAACAAGAGAGAGGGAGAGTGAGGGAGGGGAGGGGAGGGGAGAGAGAGAGACTAGAAAATGCCATAAGATCCAGCTCTAAGGCATCTTCTTAATTAATGATTCTTGGGGAAGGGCCCAGCTCACGGTGCACGATGCTGGTGGTCCTGTGCTCTGTAAGAAAATAGGCTAAACAAGTTATGGAGAGCAAGCCAGTTAGCCACACCCTCCATGGCCTCTGCATCCGCGCCTGCCTCCAGGTTCCTGCTCTGCTCTTGTCCTGGCTTCCTTCAATGATGATCAGCGATATGAAAGTGTAAGCCAAAGCCTTTCTCCCCGACTCTTGGTCTTTTGGTCATGGTGTTCTGTGGCAGCGATAGCTACCCCACCTAATTTAGCGTCTGTATACCACTTGCATGGCTGGTACCTATGGAGACCAGAAAAGGACATCAGATTCCTTTGAACTGGAGTTACAGTGGCGTCTGTGAGCTGCCATTTGGTTCTGGGAATCAAAACCTGGGCTTAATGATCATACTAACATTTCTGCCCATTTATTATGTGCCAGACATAATGCTCATCCACTGAGTTATCTATGTATTGTTTAATATATCTGGTGTGGTTATTATTGTTTTTAATATTTTTATTAATTATTTCAGAGTTTCATACAATGTATTTTAATCATACTCAGAACTTCCAACTCTCCTTAATTCCTCCTAGATCCAACCCCACTTCTGTACACCCAACTTCAAGTCTTTTTTTTTTTTTTTTTAGATAGGTTCTCACTGTGTAATCCTGGCTGACCTAGAACTTGAACTCACAAAGGTCCTCCTGCCTCTGCCTCTGGGTTGCAGAGATTAAAGGTGTGCACCACCATGTTCAGTTGGTGTTGTTTTGGTTTTGGTGTTTTGAGAAAGGTCTTTTTGTAGTGTTGGCTGTCCTGAACTCACTCTGTAGACCAGGCTGGCCTTGAACTCACAGAGCTCTGCCTGCCTCTGCCTCCTGAGTGCTGGGATTACAGCCACCGCCCCCAGCTTTCTGTTGTTGTTTATAAGCCACTGACTTCAGTTTGTGCTGTTCATGTATTTCTGGCTGTGGGGTCATCCCTGGAGTCTAGTGCTGCTTTTTGAGACAAGGTTTCACTCGAGCCCAAACTGGCCTCAAACTCCCTACAATCCTCCTACCTCAGCTTCCTGGATGCTGGGGTTATAGGTGTGAGCCAATAGGCCTGAATTTGTTGATATATTTTCCTAAGTCTGTCTTTTTGCCAGGCTGTCTTGCACCTTCCATAGTTCTATTTGAAAGGATAAAACAGGAGAATCACTTGAATCCAGGAGTTTAAAACTACTCTGGAAAATAGAGTAGGACCTGGCCTCTTGAAAAAAAGAGGAGGATAGCTTGAATTATAGCTTAATGTGGTATAATGTTTGCCCAACATGCACAAAACAGTAGGTTCCATCCTCAGCACCTATAAACTGGGCATGGAGGCATATACCTGTAATCTTTTTGTTTGTTGGTTGGTTAGTTGGTTGGTTTTTGGTTTTTTGAGGGTTTCTCTGTGTAGCCCAGGCTGGCCTCGAACTCACAGCAATCCTCCTGCCCCTGCCTCCCAGAGTCTGGGATTACAAGCATGCACCACTGTGCCCTGGCTGCAAGAGGATCAAAAGTTCAAGTTAGTCCTCAGGTACATAGTCCTCAGCTACACACTGAGGTTGAGGCTAGCCTGAGGCACATGAGACCTTGTCTCAAAGAAAAAACAAATACAAGGCTGGACATAGTGCCCAGATCTGTAATCTCAGTACTTCGGAGGCAAGGGCAGAAAGATCAGGAGTTGAAGGCTAGCTCCAGCTCCTGTGCTGTATTACAAGGGTCATACCAGCCTGCACTACTTGAAACCCTTTAGAGCAGTGATCCTCAACCTTCCTAGGATTAAAGGTGTGAGCCACCACTGTCTTGCAAGCGGTTTTTCTTTAAAATGCTAAAAAATTATCCTCAAGTTTTTTTTTAAAAATAACAAAAAAGGAAGTTACTTTTTATTTTTTTTTAAGTTTGAAGTAAGTAGTCATGACACCTATTGTTTAGATGAGCCCAGAGAAGTTTAATAATTTACTTTAGGTCAAACAGCTGTTAGTTGGCAGCATACATCTGAGGACAGGCGATCTAAAACCATGTTCTTGCCCAGATCATAGCCCTCTAATCTCCACTGCCTGAGAAGCTGAGGAAGGAGGATTTAAAACTGAGCTAGAGTTAACTCAATGCTGCTCAGGCAACTTTGTGAGCCCATTTATTTGATTTATTTATTCATTTAGTGTGTCTCATTATGTACCCTAGGTTGGCCCCAAACTTCTTTTCATTTTCTTGCTTTGTATGTTTTTTTGGGGGAGGGGGTTCTAGTTTTTATTTGTTTGTTTGTTTGTTTTTATGTCTAGTGATGTTTTGTCTGTACAGAGTTGATGCCTTAAGTAAACTGGTGCCTTAAGTAAACGTGTAAAGAGAGGATGAAGTCCTGAGTGAATGTGTTGTTGACATGAACATGACCATCAAAAACTGACACCTCAGACCCATGAGATCGCCAAAGTCTTTCTATGGTCCAAGCATGAGGGTTTAGTAGCAACTGACCAGTGTGTGCAAAAATTAGTAATTACAGCTTTTGCCCCTCAGTTGGTGATAGCCTGAAACTGTCTGCCTACAGGGCCCTCCTAACTAGACTGCCAAGTCCTCCTCCCCGTGCAATACATAATAAAGTCACTGATGTTCCAGATTGTTTTCTACATCAGAGCCCACAGCCCAACTACTCCTGGCTTTTTTTTTTTTTTTTGGTATGTCTGTGTGTTTGTCCTTCTTGCAGCCCCAGTCAGGTTTCCAGGTCCCAGCCTCACAGGATGGGTGTGTGTGTGTACACATCTTTGCCCCACTTACCCATTTGTGTGTCTAACCCTGAGAAGGCCAGAAGAGGAGGTCCAGTTCCCTGGAGCTGTGATTACAGAAGGTTGCAAGCTGCCATGTGGATTCTGGAACTCAAACTTCAGTCCTCTGGATACGTTCTTAACTGATGAGAGGCATCTCTAAATCCACCTTGTTTTCCACATTATATAGCCTTAGCTGGCCTAGAACTCATTATGTAGATTAAGTTGGCCTTCAACTCACATAGATCTGACTGTCTCTGCCTCCCAAGTACTGAGGTTAAAGGATGTACCACCACAATTGGCCATTATTTTTTTTTCTTTTATTTGTGTGGTGGTTTGAATGAAAATGACTCCCATAGGCTCATATGGCAATGCAGTATTTGAAATTATTAGGACCGGTGTCCTTACTGGAAGCAGGCACTGGGGGTGGGCTTTGAGGGTTCAGAAGCTCAAGCCAGGTCCAGTATTGCTGCCTCTTTTCCTGCTGGCTGGCTGCAGGTCCAGATGTAGATTTTTTTTTTTTTAAATGTACATTTGCTGTTTGGCCTGAATATATGCCTGTGTGAGCAAGTCAGATCCACTGGAATTTGATTTACGAACCAGACAGTTGTGAGCTGCCCTGTGACTGCTGGGAATTGAACCAGGGACCTCTGGAAGAGCAGTCAGTACTTTTAACAGCTGAGCTGTCTCTCCAGCTCCCAGATGTAGAACTCTTAGCTCCTCTCCAGCGCCATGTCTGCATGTATATACTGCCATGCTTCCTGGCATGATGAAAATGGACTAAACTTCTGAACCTGTAAGCCCCAGTTAAGTATTGTCCTTTATAAGTGAACTTGAGAGGCAGAGACAGGTGGATCTCTGTGAGTTTGAAGCAGCCTGATCTACAGAGTGAGTTCCAGAACAGGGCTACAAAATAAGACCATGTCTCAAAAGAGCCCAAAAAGAAAGAGAGTGAGAGGAGGATGGGAGGAGGGAGAGAAGGAGGGAGAGGAGAAGAGGAGGAGGGAAGGAGGGAGGGGAGGAGGGAGGGGAAGAGGAATGCAGGGAAGCAAAATGGATCTGTGAATGAAGATGCTTATGGCATAGGCCTTGTGACCTGAGTTTAATCACCA